GTGATTAAGATGCACCCGTTTCTGTATTCGCATTAACATCAACATCATTTGTAGCATTGTGATCGCTGTCTGTCGCACTCATGTGCACTACATTACCACTCGACGATGCACGATCATCCGCCTCTGATGAACTCTGAGCTTGTTGTTGTGGTACGGATGCACGTTTACGAAAGAACAATCGCGGGCGTTCGTAATCACCCAACGACGGTTTCGTATAACCACCTCCTTGGGATGATATTGACGGCAGTCTTGCGCGTCGTCCGTCTGATACTACTCCATCACTGCCCGTTCCACTTGTAACGAAATAAGAGGGTTGTTGTCTCTGATAGAGAAGAGATGGTGAGGCGCTTGAACGTGCCGCGCTGAGAACTCGATACGATGATGAACCAGATGCTGTCGAGATAACCCGGATATTCGACGAAGGTCGACATGATGATGTAGATGCTTGCTGAGCATTAATCACACTAACAGGCTGTGAACTAGAGCTACGCGATACCACTACTAGACGACGTTGCACTGGAATCGTTGAGCCAGCTGCTGTAGCACCGGACGAAATATGCTGACGAACACCACTAGTAGACTGTGATGTTGCCACCAGTCTATAGGATGTTGAAGGTAAGGAACGACCGCTGGTTATTAGCCGCTGTCTGTTGTTTATAGTTGATGAGCTTGTTGTCATAACATAACGATCACGGATATCTTCCGACGAAAATGACTTCTGCGAAGTAGACGGCTGCACATTGATACCTCTTGTGGTGCCGACAATCTGACTGCGTCCACTCGACTGTGATGTGGTCATTGATCGAGGGCTTGCTGTTGTTGTTGATGAGGATGAAATTACTGAGGTAGGTGAGAGTGGCACCAAAACACACGAAAATGTTTGAGGGGTGATTGCGCTAGTTGATGCACGCACATCATCAGACGATGTGTTCAGCTGACGATCACTTCTGACGGCATATGTTGTCGGGTGCATTGGGTAGCTCGGTAACGGCGACGGGGACGATGACATCAGTGGACGTTGATCACTAAGAGTGGACACGTAATGAGTGGGTTTGCCACGTGATTTGCGAGACGATGATGCAGCTTGTGGTTCACTTTCGTTAGACGATGACGGCAACGAAAAATGCTCGTCGTCACTATCAACCACCAATACGTTCCCTTCATTACGAATCGACAAATCGTTTTTATTCTTCTTCTTCATCACCAATTTCTGCTCAGCACCTCTGCTGTCAACCTTTGTTGTCACGTCGGCAGTGGTCCCTTTATGAGCTTTGTCGTTTGCAGAACGGCCTTTTGTGCTTCGTTGTTGTTTGCTACTCTTGGACTTATTACCGTCGATACCCGTCGACTTCACATTGCGCTTATTTGCCGCGGTTGTTGATGATGTTCTGTCAGTGATCACCTTCTTTTTCGACTTATTCTTATCGTTAGACGAACTTTTAGTGGTGCTAGTAGTTGATGAAACTCTCTTAGAAGTTTGTGATGCTTTCAGATTGGAATCTGATGAATGCCTACGTGTTAGACGTAATGCCCTAGATGCGGTGGTGGTGCTGTTGGTGGAGTTTTTGGTATTGGACTGTGATACGGTGGTGTTGTTCTTAGATGATAACGCACTAGCGGCAGAGATACGAGAAGAGAAACGACTTGGGATGAGACGTTGTTTGTGGGCTTGAGGAGGAGAGACTTTAGAGGAGATGTTGCTGGCTGAGGAGGATGCATGAATGTTTGTGGACTTAGCGCCACGCTTATTGCGTACCTCATCAATTGAACCTGGTATTTTGAATCCATTCGCGTAAGTCACATCAAATTCATCGTCATCATCATTCAGCTCATCACCGTCACCACCTTCAAGCACTGTCTCATGCGCCTTCAGCCATTCGTCTTTCTTTGACGCAATCATCGCCTAAACTCACACGGCTATCCTCATTTCAATTTGGTACACTTCTTGTCATTACGAACGATTGCAAATAATGATAGAAGAGAAACACTAAAATCATTTTCTTATTTATGCAACTGATTCTAAAAACACACTTTTTATCCACGAAAGTAATACCGAATCGAATTGATATAATTCCATTTTACATTCGTAAAAATATATTTTATTTATTTCGTTAGTTTGAAGATGATTCAAGAGATACAATCGTAAAAACATCAACCATACCTCAGCCTCTTTGACTTCTTCCTCAAAATCTGGCTTATACTCAGCCTCCAAGAAGTTTATAGCGTACCTCTCGATAGGTTTCAACTAGATAGAATAAAAAAAATTAATCAATCGATATTCCAATGAAACTTCACTTCAGAGAATGATGAGGGCTTTAATTCAAACATTTTACAGGAATTGCAAAAACAAACGCGACCAAAGAGAAACCTTTGTGAAACGAATGGAGAAAAAAGTTTAGTGAGTGAATGTAAAAACAACCAGAAAGCATTAATAATATGATGTACCTGATTCAAAAGTTCGAAATACTTCGAATCGGTTCCATCGAGCGCATTCGAATTGCTGACATTATCTTCTTTCGGTTGAACATTCTCATCGAATTCGGCAAGTTCAGCTTTTGCTTCAGCATTCGCACGATTTGCTGCTGCCACGTCTTGTACATCTTCGAGTCTGGCCATTACCTTAACCAATCAATCGATCAATCAATATCCAATGATCACACACAATATATACACAAATGAACAATCCTTAAACATCACATAAATGAAGTCAAATCAAAATTCAGTATAATAATAGAGCAAACCTTTTCCAGTTCGGCAGGATCATTAACGCTGACCGGTGCAACCACATCGGCGACAGCAGCCTCTCCTTGGAATAACTCCCTCAGATTGTCGCCTTTAAAGAATTCCGGTGTGAAGCCAGCCTCGTCAATCGCCAATTCACCAAGTCTACGTTTTTGCATTGCTTTCTTCAAGATATTCTCCTCGATTGTTCGTTCGCTTATCAACCGATAAATTGTTACATTTCGCGTTTGACCAATCTGTAGTGCGGACATAATGAATCACTGATCGATTACAACACAAGTGAATGCACACTCGCATTCTAAGCATTCTTCATAAAGGCCATTTATATTCAGTTATGAAAATACAACTGAGTCAAACATATATAATATGTTAAGTTCTCAGAAGAAAGATGAAGCGTTCAGAACGCACGGGCGATTAGCCAACGACGACAGATAACAATCAAAAGTGATGTTCATTTCTTGCAGTCGCCATTCGTTAATGACCTGAGGTAATGCATTCAGCGCATAAATAGCACTTAACCAATAATCAGCACGTACCCGATGGCATCGATCCTGCGCTTGAGCATCCATAGTTGGATTCCAGTCGGAATCATAGAAGATCACCGTGTCTGCACCAGTCAGATTCACACCAATTCCACCAGAACGAGTCGACAGAATGAAACAGAATATTTTCGGATCACTATTGAAACGTTCCATCATTGCCTTCAAAACAGTCAATTCGCCAATCAATCAGAATCAAAACAAAACTTGCTCCTATACATTCATATGCAGAAAGGTGAAAATATTCTGTTGAAAAATTTCTCGACAAATCATTCAAACTTCCATCAAGGATAATACGCTTTACGGTATTAACTTTCAGTGATATTCTTATAAGTTGAATTGGAAACATCTTCTGAGATGTCAACAAAAATTAAAACGGAACCTGTCGTTGTTCAATGCCCGTAGTACCGTCAAGACGGAAATATTGATATCCATGAAATGATAGAAACGCTTGCAGAACGTCTAACATTCGAGACATTTGTGTGAATATCAGACAACGATGCTTATAGATGAATAAATCTCGCAAAAGTGCACTCAACACTTGCAGTTTCCCTTAAAAAACGTAACGTTTTCTGCGCCATATTTTTCATTCCATTTGTTGGAAGACAAAATAACCTGTTAGACGGAATCAAAAAAAATAAGAAGGAAAAATCTCGGAACTAAAGTCAGTAGCATTCATTTAACAACTTTAAAACTAGAAAAAGGATCAAAGAAGAGAGGATCGAAACAATGATTAAGAAATCAACACGCACCACAATCATATTCGATAAGCCTCAGTTCAGGGAATTGTAACGTTTGCATCGTTCTGCACTGGAACACCAAAGGATCATTGTACGATTCAAACAAGTGACGACACGCCATGTTAACGTCCTCATCCAACTGCTTACGATACGCAAAACGACCCGATGAGGTTGGCTGAAGGCTCGGTGCATTTGCAATGGCACCGTGAACGTACACTGTGAACCTGTAACATAAATAAACACATTACTAAATGCTACCCAAAGAATACTAACAAGTGATCTAACAATATCAATAGAATGCCCCGATTCTCAGTAAAGAGTTTTTGATAGAAACTGAACTGGTCATTTCGGAATGATAGGGATGAAATAGAGCTCGAATCGGAAGTCGAAAAATTTTGTTTTCATATAACTGGTGTATTGCAGAATTCATATAAAAACTAGTGTCAAACCCTATCAGATGGAAATGGAACATTTTAACAACAAAGACATCGAACGATATCGGAACTCACAGCTTATTGGAGCAAAAACCGAAATTTTGCGTCTCCTCTCACTTTGAAACAATAAAACCAAAATGTAAATTCCACTCACCTCTCAACCATATCCTCCACGACTTGTCGCAATCGATCACGAATCCAGTCGAGCTCGTCACTGCATTCGAACGCGTTCAACTCAACAATCGGCATTTTTCCTTTTTCTGAAAAAATCTTTTCCCGATAAATTAAACCCCGATTGCATTTCTCCAAATGAACTCCCTCGATTTTTTTTNTAGAACAAATATTCTACAAAATGCACTAAAATTGTTCCGTCACAAAAGTATTTTGAGCATATTTCACTGAATAATTCGAATTCCTAAATAAAAATTTCATAAAATGAACGATCTCTATAAATGAAAATCATAAGAAGTGCGAAACGACGCATGCAATACGCATAAAGAATTTGCAGTTAGCTCCATCTTCGTCATTCTTTCAAAATCTTTTAATACACCAAATTCGTTTCAGTGAGAACATTTTCGCAAGTATACAACCCAATGAATTGTTTGGTGACTCACCTGGATGGGCAGTTGCATTTCGTGCTTTCGGTCGATGTTTTCGTTTGACTTCGTTGATGACAATCGACAGCAATTCATCGGATACCAACGGCGCACGTTTTACGTTTGCCCATTCACTGTGCCTCACACACCAATCAACAATTCGTTGTGCACACTCTTGTCTCCGATCTTTTTGCAGTTGTCGCGTTTCTGGCTTAAATACCAGCCAACTCATTCAATGAATCAATTGTTATAAGGTTGTTGTCTTTTCATAATCATACCCACTGTCAAACCAAAATCATATTCCATAACACGTACGAATGTAAAAAGTGAGTTTTTTTTACGTTCTATTAATCAAATTATTCCGCCTACTTTAAACTCAGTTAATTTATTTACAATATTCATAATTCGCGGCATTTATCAAATGATTTACACTAAAACTATAGTAATATTTCTAATAAAATTTCCATCTTCCACCAAATACAATTGTGTACGATAGCTCATGATTATATCAAAGAATAATGTCTGGTTGATTCAATAGATGAAACAGTGATCAATAGACCAATATATCAATTCATCCAGGTTAAAATAAAAACGATTGGTAAACGATCGCTTTGATGAGACGAGTAATTTAAGAAAGTTCCTTCATAAAAACATACCAACAAAAGTTCCGCATGTGGTTGTCGCTCAATTTTCGGTGCGTTTATTCGTCGACGTTTCTGTGGTGGTGAAGATGCGACTGTCGCCGAATTGCTCACATGTCTCGCCTCACCATTCGTAATCATCGGTGTCACCGTTTGTAACGGCACTCCTTCAGCGGTCAAAGGGCGTACCTCTGCCACACAACGACTACGCGTCGGGGAGTCGCTCGAGCCGGACACCTGAAGACAATGAATGATGGAGCGCGGTTTTGATCGATTGTTAACGACACGTAAATTGAATTATCGCTAAGTTTCGTTGATTTGACTAACAACGTGATCGGTTGTTCTATGCTCTCGACTGCGCATAAAATCGTCATAAATGCATCGAATATCTTCACCAGCAATCAATAGACTGAGTTTATATTACTGATGAGAAGAAATACAAGATTAAAAGCAAGAAATCAACTATATCATGTACAGTACGGTCGGCTTATTGGGGCCAGCTAAGGGAAACGAAATGAACGAATGAATCAAGCAAATATTACTTGATATGGAATCGTTGTGCCAACAGATGTGCAACCGTTGTTGATCGATTGCAAATCTTGTTTCAAAGCATGACCGCTTCGTATTACCGTTTTGTTGAGCACCGTTTTTGTGCGAAATACAGCCTGAAATCCCGTTCAAATTTCGGACTGAAAATACATTTCGAATTCGAATAACTGATATCGTGGAAGCCTTAAATTTAAATTTAAGCAAACAGCCACATGAATATTGACTGGTGCAATCTGTTCAATACTACTAAGTAATCCATTTTAAGTAACTAATCAATCAGGCAGAGAGCTTATAATCATAATATATCAGCAAAATAAGGGG